TTTGCAGACGACATGATACTATACCTAGAAGATTCTAAAGACTGCACAAGAAAACTTCTGGAACTAATAGAAGAATTTAGTAATGTTGCAGGGTACAAGATCAACACACAAATATCAATTAAGTCCCTCTACACTAACAAAGACTACTCCGAAAAAGAAATTAAGAAAGTAATATCATTTGCAATAGCCCCAAATCGATAAAATACCTAGGAATTAACCTAACCAGGGACATAAAAAGACCTATATGATGAAAATTATAAAACACTACTACAAGAGACTAAAAGAGATCTACAAAAATGGAAAGACAACCTGTACTCATGGATTAGAAGATTTAATATAGTGAAAATGTCAATTCTACCAAAACAATCTACAGGTACAATGCAATCCTGATACAATCCCAACAACATTCTTTACCAAAATGGAAAAACTAATGACCATCTTTATATGGAAAGGAAAGAAACCCTGAATAGCCAAAGCAATGTTGAAGAAAAAGAACAAAGCAGGAGATTTCCCACTCCCCAGTATGAAAACACACTACACAGCTACTGTAATCAAAACAGCCTGGTATTGGTTCAGTGACAGATACATAGAACAGGGGAAAAAAATTGAGAACTCAGAATTAAAACCAGTCATCTATAGACAACTGATTTTTGACAAGGGGTCAAAGTTCATTCAGTGGGGCAGAAACAGTCTCTCTAATAAATGTGTTGTCAAAACTGGATATCCACCTCAGAAAAATGAAACAGGACCCATACCTCACACCATACACAAAAACTAACTCAAAATGGATTAAAGACCTAAATGTTAAACCTAAAATTCCTGGGAGAAAATTATACACACAATCTTTTGTAAAAATAGGATAACAAACAACAAATGTACAAATAGAAGAAGACAAAACCGATAAATGGAACCTCATAAAAATTAAAAACTTATGCTCAACAGAAACTTTATTACAGGGCTTCGAACGTGTTCTTTTCGGTTTGAACCCCTGCTGAGAATTTTCATTTTCACTCCAGACATACTGAATCAGAATCTACATTTTAACAAGATCCCCAGGTGATTCTTA